CAAGATGGCAACATCATAGCTGAGAGAATAAAGTAGCAAACACAGCAGGATGGCAACATCATAGCCAAGAGAATAAAGTAGCTAACATCCACAAGCATCATGCAACACTCTTCCCTGTATGGGTCCTGGACCCAGAAAGGGGGTCGGGGTGGGGTCCTGTCACAAGCATGTTGTAAAAAGCAACTAACTGGAGGTATTTCCTTCAGAGTCAGAGTGCATCTGACAGACAGGTCAGGAACTAACAGTCTGCATACATGTAAGCCAGCTCTGTAAAATGCTTGTGTATGAAAAATGTAAGGTTCTAGAATAAGACTAAAACCAAAACTTTTTGTCGGGATTTACAACCAGTGAGAACTAGAAAGAAGAAAAAGAATGTAACATTCTGGCGGAACAACAAAGTGAGATAACATGACCAACAAGGTGAGATACCACTGCCATAAACAAGATGATCAAATGATATCCAAGAAGACATCAATATGATGAGACTGGCAACACAACAAAATGAGACAGAACAACCAATAAAATGAGATAACACTACCAACAACATGATGATGATATAACCAAAAAGACACCAAAATAACACCCTGACATAACAAGATGAGAGTTTCCTAGCTAACATACCAAAACGGTAACAATAATACAACAACAATGCCATACATCGTACATAATTATCACATAGTGAGGTGGTCAAAGATCAACATGTTAGCTAGCATAACTAGATGCTGACATCCTGGCTGGAATGACAAGTTGACAACATCCAGCCAACACAACAAAGTCCAACTTCAGCCACTGTACTATAAACAGATGGTTGCAAGACTGTCAACAAATCATCATCACTGCGATGACATGCCTGTGTCCTGCGGAGTGGCAGCGGTCACATGACAAGTGTCCTCTCAAGGATCTATACAACTTTGCCGATAATGTGTACATCTGTTTGACTGCGTACTCCCAGCAGACGATGTGTACACTGTTAGTTGATGGTGCAATGATAATGGACTGGCAGTCTCTGCTTACAGGCCACTAGAACTGAGGAGAGACAACAGAATGAGGGAACTCAGTTTCACACAGACACAGGTACAAGACATCAGCTGACTGCTGGAATTAAAACAAAAAAAAAACAGTATCTTTATTGTGTGTTTTACCACTTTTTATGGCAGGGGTAGAACAGTGGGATCTGTTTAAGAAGGATTCAGGGCCATCATTCCGGACTTTACAGGTTAGGATTTCATGTTTGTCCCCCACAGAAACAAAATCCAGCCACTTACCAAGGATTAGGACTTAGGTCTTCTGACTGAGAGCCTAGCGTTCTCAACCCTGTGGCTCTGTAAAGCACCCAATCTGGCATCTTCATCGGTAACCAATGCACAAGAAGCCACAAAACTGACATTGCTGCCCTGGCCAGTCCCCGACAAGCCTTGTTAATGGCACTGGTTCTGTTTGCGACCTGTGCAGTGTTTAGGAGCTCTGGATATATTTACTAAAAATAGCATTTATTTGTGTGTGTGTGTGTATAAAAATGGCTATTGTTATGTGCGCGAGACTTCTTAATTCTTCTCTAGCCTTTAGTAATTAAGGCCAAAGGTCACAATGTAAGCAATCAAATGAATTATATTTTTTCAAGCCCAAAAGAAATAAACTGTGAAAGTCTCTGCTCACATTCCTATATACTGATTATTCTCTTCACCTCTTTCTTAAAAAAGAAAATTTGTAAATGTATATAAATAATTTAAAAAAAGAAAATGTGTAAATGTATATAAATAAATTTAAAAAAGAAAATGTGTAAATGTATATAAATAAATTAAAAAAGAAAATGTGTAAATGTATATAAATAAATTAAAAAAAGAAAATTTGTAAATGTATATAAATAAATTAAAAAAAATTAATTTGTAAATGTATATAGATAAATTTAAAAAAGAAAATTTGTAAATGTATATTAATAAATTTAAAAAAAGAAAATGTGTAAATGTATATAAATAAATTAAAAAGAAAATGTGTAAATGTATATAAATAAATTAAAAAAAGAAAATGTGTAAATGTATATAAATAAATTAAAAAAAGAAAATGTGTAAATGTATATAAATAAATTGAAAAAAGAAAATGTGTAAATGTAGATAAATAAATTGAAAAAAGAAAATGTGTAAATGTATATAAATAAATTTAAAAAAATTAATTTGTAAATGTATATAGATAAATTTAAAAAAGAAAATTTGTAAATGTATATAAATAAATAAAAAAAAAAAATTTGTAAATGTATATAAATAAATTAAAAAAAAAGAAAATGTGTAAATGTATATAAATAAATTAAAAAGAAAATGTGTAAATGTATATAAATAAATTTAAAAAAGAAAATTTGTAAATGTATATAAATAAATTTAAAAAAAAGAAAATGTGTAAATGTATATAAATAAATTAAAAAGAAAATGTGTAAATGTATATAAATAAATTTAAAAAAGAAAATGTGTAAATGTATATAAATAAATTTAAAAAAAAAAGAAAATTTGTAAATATATATAAATAAATAAAAAAAAAGAAAATTAGTAAATGTATATAAATAAATTTAAAAAAAGAAAATGTGTAAATGTATATAAATAAATTAAAAAAAGAAAATTTGTAAATGTATATAAATACATTTTTAAAAAATGTTAGTTGTGACCTGTTTGTTTTGTAATATTTTTGGGAAAATTTCTTTCTTTGAAGGGTTCCCAGGGTAAAAGGGTTAACTGCTTGGCAATTCACTTTCAAAGGAGAAATGTTTTTTAAATTTTGTATTATGGCAATGCAGTAGGATCTGTTTAATCAGAAACTTGTCTGACAGTGGTATCTTGTTATCTGTCCAGAATGATGCTGTCCTAGTAATTGTACAAAAAAAAAAAAAAAACATTACCCCTCTATACTGTTGACTTTCACAAGTCCGATCTTGTAGCAGTTTCACCACAAGTCCTGCTGATCTATCTACTGGTAGTTCTTTAGCCTTCCAGATTCTTCTAAATCATTTATGCAGCTTCTTCTTCTTCTTCACGTTTACCAGCTGTAAACTCTATTGGAAAAGTTCTGGTTGTTTATCTACTTTTTGACTGCAGTCCTGTTCCAGAACCTGAGTGTTGTGTGTGCATCCGTTTTACAGATCTGACTCATTTGTATGCAGACCGCTGGTTCCTTGCCTCTTAGGCAGATGCATTCCGACTTGGAAGGAAGCTCCCAATAAGTCGACTCTTACGAGGTGCTATTGGGTAGGCAGTGGGTCTAATTCTTTTTTCCCCCCATAATAGGGCCCCGGAACCCATACAGGGAAATTTGTGCAGAAATTCAACTGATATATTTATTATTCATCAGCTTTATACATTCAATCATAAGCCAGTCTCTCCGAGGATGACACCATTATTGTTCATTCAATCATGAGTCAGTCTCCAAGGTTGTTCATTTAATTCACAAGAGGCAAATAATTACGGTTTTGCTGAAATAGGATGTGTTGGACCAAAAGGAGCAGATATCACAGCCTAGCTGTTAACCATCAAAAGACAAAAAAATCATCATAATGAATCTTGAAATAAATAACGTGAAGATCTACAGCCTCCACACCTGGTTGTGAGCTAGAATAGATCAAACAATGTTGAATTAAGAATCAACATTATAACACTCATGACATTCTCATAAGCACTCTGTCCCCATCTTCAGCAGCAAGCGCAAAGTTCTATTTCCAATGGTAACTGTATCTGACAGTGTATCCATCTGGCATTTCCCTTGAGTGTTAAATGTCAGCCAGATCCCCTGGTAACTGCTCCCGCACGGTTCATTCTCCCCAGACTGTGATGATCTGTTTGTGTCTCTGCACTGTTGACTGACTCCCAAAGGACCCTTACAATATTTAGCTTGTCATGCATCAATGCCCCATTAAGTGGTGCACAACCAGCCAATCTGTCTCTTCATTTCTCAAAACACCTGCATCACATGGCCTGACACCTCCATCACAGGGCCTGACACCTGCATCACCTGGCCTGACACCTGCATCACATGGCCTGACTCCTGCATCACATGGCCTGACATCTCCATCACATGGCCTGACACCTCCATCACAGGGCCTGACACCTCCATCACAGGGCCTGACACCTGCATCACATGGCCTGACACCTGCATCACATGGCCTGACACCTGCATCACACGGCCTGACACCTGCATCACACGGCCTGACACCTGCATCACAGGGCCTGACACCTGCATCACAGGGCCTGACACCTGCATCACATGGCCTGGCACCTGCATCACATGGCCTGACACCTGCATCACACGGCCTGACACCTGCATCACATGGCCTGACACCTGCATCACACGGCCTGACACCTCCATCACAGGGCCTGACACCTCCATCACAGGGCCTGACACCTGCATCACATGGCCTGACACCTGCATCACATGGCCTGACACCTGCATCACATGGCCTGACACCTGCATCACCTGGCCTGACACCTGCATCACCTGGCCTGACACCTGCATCACATGGCCTGGAGAAAATATGCAAACTGGGACCTTTAAAGTGATGATTGCCACTCTTGTCTCGTTTTCTCAACATCATTTGTCAGCGACAATTAGGACATATGTGTACTGTTGGTTTTGTAGCCAGCAGAAGGTTGCAGTAACTGCCTCCACCCCCTTCTCAGACCAGATGTTTTGGTATCATATGCTAGGCTTTGCTGCACTAAGAAACATCTGTTTAGTTTTGGTGTGAACCTGTCTCTACTTCATCTGCCTCTCAACACACACAGCCATTTGTTAGATAATCCTTTCTGGCTGAGAACTGTCCCACTTGTGAACTTCTGATTCAAACATTGGTATGATATTTAGACAAGGCAGGAGAGAACTGTCCCACTTGTGAACTTCTGATTCAAACATTGGTATGATATTTAGACAAGGCAGGAGAGAACTGTCTCACTTGTTGAACTTCTGATTCAAACTTTGGTATGATATGTAGACAAGGCAAGAGAGAGCTGTAATACTTACTCCACAAACCTCCAGACCTCCAGCTGTAGAATGCTGAAATCTTCCTCTTTGGCCAGCACGTCATTACAGAATGTAGCACAAGTGTGAGACCGTCCCTTGTTGAGGTCCCCATCCAGCCACAGACCAAAATGTCCTCTGTCAATGGACAAATGGTCAGAGGTGTATTACTTCACATATTTATAATAGTGTACATTTATAACTTCACATACTTATAATAGTGTACATTTATAACTTCACATACTTATAATAGTGTACATTTATAACTTCACATATTTATAATAGTGCACATTTATTACTTCACATATTTATAATAGTGTACATTTATAACTTCACATACTTATAATAGTGTGCATTTATAAACTTAACATTTTATATTTATTTATAATAGTGCACTGTTTTTAAAACTCACAATCTATCATTTTATAATAGTGTACCCCCCCCCCCCCCCCTTCACATATTTATAATAGTGTAGTTTTTTATAAAATTATTAATTCTTCACATATTTATAGACACATCTATTTATCAGCCACCACACAGTGACATAAAGATTAACTCTATAACTCAGTATATCACTCACACAGTGACATAAAGATTAATTCTATAACTCAGTATATCACCCACGCAGTGACAGAAAGAATAATTCTATAACTCAGTATATCACCCACGCAGTGACATAAAGATTAACTCTATAACTCAGTATATCACTCACACAGTGACATAAAGATTGATTCTATAACTCAGTATATCACCCACACAGTGACATAAAGATTAACTCTATAACTCAGTATATCAGCCACACAGTGACATAAAGATTGATTCTATAACTCAGTATATCACTCCCACAGTGACATAAAGATTGATTCTATAACTCAGTATATCAAACATACAGTGACATAAAGATTAATTCTATAACTCAGTATATCACCCACGCAGTGACAGAAAGAATAATTCTATAATTCAGTATATCACCCACACAGAGACATAAAGATTAATTCTATAACTCAGTATATCACCCACGCAGTGACAGAAAGAATAATTCTATAACTCAGTATATCACCCACACAGAGACAGAAAGATTAATTCTATAACTCAGTATATCACCCACACAGTGACATAAAGAATAATTCTATAAATCAGTAAATCACCCACACAGTGACATAAAGATTAACTCTATAACTCAGTATATCACCTACACAGTGACTTAAAGATTAATTCTATAAATCAGTCCATCACCCACACAGTGACATAAAGATTAACTCTATAAATCAGTCCATCACCCACACAGTGACATAAGCTGCCCATAAGTTGGGCAGTGAGAAAGTACAGGCAACACAGACTAATGACGATGTATCAACATGACAAAATCTACTGGCTACAACAGGTACCTGGCCATTTTCTGGAAAATATCAGCCAAGAAAAGGTGATGGGCAAGAAAAGAGTTCTTAGCTTGGTCCACAATATGTGCAGGCATCATACTTCACACCCAACTGGCAGTATTTATGACTACACAAACAATCAATCAGGTGCCATCTCCACAGTGAAGGCAGGATCTCCAACATGCCCTGTGCCATGCTTGGTGTTTTTACTGTACATTAACTCTATGTATATTGCTATGAACACAACATGTTTTACAGACAATATCCAACTGCTGGGTGAAAGATGAGTATTTGGAAGGGCTGAATCTAAGACAGGCTTGCACGTCCAAGTTGTGATCCTGTAAAAATCCAGTCTGTTGGTTCTGTCTCTGACAGTGGTAACAGATTCTCTCAAACTGCTGTCTCTCTCTCTCAATGTTACTATTACCTCTGGCTGGCTTGTCTTCAGCTCTCCATCTACACAAGGAGACTAAGCAACACACTCACTAACTCCACAATGTATCAACAGTCTAAATCTAAACTAGCAACAACAATGAGAGGGTGGTGGGGAGAAGCAGCACTTACTCTTCCTGAAAATAAAGAAAATCTTTAGTTCCATGCATGAAAAATGTGGTTAGCATAAAATGTCACAGAATGTTATATGATTGGGGCCAAAGAAAACAGATCTCAGCGTTACAATAACTAGGGCTAAAGACAACAGATCACAGCGTTACCTGTCTGACTGGAAGTAACTTGCCTGACTGTAAGTAACTTGCCTGACTGTAAGTAACCTGCCTGACTGTAAGTAACCTGCCTGACTGTAAGTAACCAGCCTGACTAAGTAACCTGTCTGACTGTAAGTAACGTGTCTGACTGTAAGTAACCTGTCTGACTGTTAGTAATCTGCATGACTGTAAGCAACCTGTCTGATTTTAAGTAAGTAACCTGCCTGACTGTAAGTAACCTGTCTGACTGTAAGTAAGTAACCTGTCTGACTGTAAGTAACCTGTCTGACTGTCTGTAAGTAACCTGCCTGACTGTAAGCAACCTGTCTGACTGTAAAAAACCTGTCTGACTGTAAGTAACCTGTCTGACTGTAAGTAACCTGTCTGACTGTAAGCAACCTGTCTGACTGTAAGTAACCTGCCTGACTGTAAGTAACCTGCCTGACTGTAAGTAACCTGCCTGACTGTAAGTAACCTGCCTGACTGTAAGTAACCTGTCTGACTGTAAGTAACCTGTCTGACTGTAAATAAACTGCCTGACTGTAAGTAAGTAACCTGTCTGACTGTAAGTAACCTGTCTGACTGTAAGTAACCTGTCTGACTGTAAATAAACTGCCTGACTGTAAGTAAGTAACCTGTCTGACTGCAAGTAACCTGTCTGACTGCAAGTAACCTGTCTGACTGTAAGTAACCTGCCTGACTGTAAGTAACATACTGCAAGTACTCCAGACAACCAGAAAGTAACCAGTGATTGTAAGTAACCTGAAACTGTAGTAACCTGTCAACTGTAAGTAAGTAACCTGCCTGGGTAAGTAACCTGCCTGACTGTAAGCAACATACGTAAGCAACCTGTCTGACTGTAAGCAACCTGTCTGACTGTAAGAACCTGCCTGACTGTAAGTAACCTGTCTGACTGTAAGTAACCTGTCTGACTGTAAGTAACCTGCCTGACTGTAAGTAACCTGTCTGACTGTAAGTAAGTAACCTGTCTGACTGTAAGTAACCTGTCTGACTGTAAGTAACCTGTCTGACTGTAAGCAACCTGTCTGACTGTAAGTAACCTGTCTGACTGTAAGTAACCTGTCTGACTGTAAGTAACCTGTCTGACTGTAAGCAACCTGTCTGACTGTAAGTAACCTGTCTGACTGTAAGTAACCTGCCTGACTGTAAGTAAGTAACCTGTGTGACTGTAAGTAACCTACCTGATTGTAAGTAACCTGCCTGACTGTAAGCAACCTGTCTGTCTGTAAGTAACCTGTCTGACTGTAAGTAACCTGTCTGACTGTAAGCAACCTGTCTGACTGTAAGTAACCTGTCTGACTGTAAGTAACCTGTCTGACTGTAAGCAACCTGTCTGACTGTAAGTAACCTGTCTGACTGTAAGCAACCTGTCTGACTGTAAGCAACCTGTCTGACTGTAAGTAACCTGTCTGACTGTAAGTAACGTGCCTGACTGTAAGTAACCTGTCTGACTGTAAGTAACCTGTCTGACTGTAAGCAACCTGTCTGACTGTAAGTAACCTGTCTGACTGTAAGCAACCTGCCTGACTGTAAGCAACCTGTCTGACAGTAAGTAACCTGTCTGACTGTAAGCAACCTGTCTGACTGTAAGCAACCTGTCTGGCTGTATGTAACCTGTCTGACTGTAAGCAACCTGTCTGACTGTAAGTAACCTGTCTGACTGTAAGCAACCTGTCTGACTGTAAGTAACCTGTCTGACTGTAAGTAACCTGTCTGACTGTAAGTAACCTGTCTGACTGTAAGTAACCTGCATGACTGTAAGTAACCTGTCTGACTGTAAGTAACCTGTCTGACTGTAAGTAACCTGCCTGACTGTAAGTAACCTGCATGACTGCAAGCTTCACAATATAACAAACAAAAACAAAATGTGACTGCTGCAGCCATGGAGCCTTCAACAGCATATACAAACACTGATGATGAGAGCACAGACATATACTGATGATGAGAGCACAGACATATACTAATGATGTCAGCACACACAATCACTGACCTTGAAAGTGGGGTAAAAGGTAAATAAAAAAGTGGCACCGGAGCCGTAGAATGTGTCATTAGGCCGAATGGTGTTGCTCAAATATGCTCCAAACACCTGCCAACACAGAGACAGGTATGAATATCTTAATTACAGGAACAAGTAATCTGGGTTGAGTTCTCCACAAGATGTGGTTTGCATGTATCTAACTTTTTACAAGATGCGTTTTGCATACAGCAAATGTCATAGGTATCAACATATCACTCAACAAATGAATATGTATGTGTCTGTGATATACAGCTGCGGAATTCTTACACAGCCATAAGTGTCTGTGTTAAACAACAGGGGAATACTTACACTGCTATATGCTTCTGTGATAAACAGCTGAGGAATACTTAAGTAGCCATATGTGTCTGTTATAAACAGCTGAGGAATACTTAAGTAGCCATATATGTCTGTGATAAACAGCTGAGGAATACTTAAGTAGCCATATGTGTCTGTGATAAACAGCTGATGAATACTAAAGTAACCATATGTGCCTGTGATAAACAGCTGAGGAATACTTTAATAGCCATATGTGTCTGTGATAAACAGCTGATGAATACTTAAGTAGCCATATGTGTCTGTGATAAACAGTAGGGGCAATACTTACACAGCCATATGTGTCTGTGATAAACAGATGAGGAATACTTAAGTAGCCATATGAGTCTGTGATAAACAGATGAGGAATACTTACACAGCCATATGTGTCTGTTATAAACAGTAGGGGGAATACTTACAGAGCCATATGTGTCTGTTATAAACAGTAGGGGGAATACTTACACAGCCATATGCGTCTGTTATAAACAGTAGGGGGAATACTTACACAGCCATATGTGTCTGTGATAAACAGATGAGGAATACTTAATTAGCCATATGTGTCTGTTATAAACAGTAGGGGGAATACTTACACAGCCATATATGTCTGTTATAAACAGTAGGGGGAATACTTACACAGCCATATGTGTCTGTGATAAACAGCTGAGGAATACTTAAGTAGCCATATGTGTCTGTTATAAACAGTAGGGGGAATACTTATACAGCCATATGTGTCTGTGATAAACAGATGAGGAATACTTAATTAGCCATATGTGTCTTTTATAAACAGCAGGGGGAATACTTACACAGCCATATGTGTCTGTTATAAACAGTAGGGGGAATACTTATACAGTCATATGTGCCTGTGATAAACAGCTGAGGAATACTTAAGAGACATTTGTGTCTGTTATAAACAGCAGGGGGAATACTTAAGCAGCTGTATGTGTCTGTAATAAACAGCAGGGGGAATACTTACGCAGCCATATGTGTCTATGATAAACAGCAGGGGGAATACTTACCCAGCCACATGTGTCTGTTATAAACAGTAGGGAATACAAATCCATATGCGTCTGTGACAAACAGCTGAGGAATACTTACACAGCCATATGTGTCTGTGATAAACAACAAGACAGGTGCATCATTGTCAACCTCTTCTGTCCTCATGTACAAGTTATGCAAGGAGTAGCCATGTTTGTGTGTGGCATAGACCAGCTCCCAGTTGTAGCCCACAGACATGTTTCGGGGAAGTGACCGCATCAGCTGGACAAAATAGACGGTCAATGTTAGGATTTAAACAAGCATCAGAGACATGGACAGCCATAAGAAAGAGAGAGAGAGAGAGAGAGAGAGAGAGAGAGAGAGAGAGAGAGAGAGAGAGAGAGAGAGAGAGAGAGAGAGAGAGAGAGAGAGAGAGAGAGAGAGAGAGAGAGAGAGAGAGAGAGAGACAGGGAGAGACAGAGAGAGACAGACAGAGAGAAAGAAACTGAATTGGTGACTTACCACTTTCACTATGTTCATTCTTCTTCTCCTCTTCCACCAGTTACCCCATCTGACTGTGGGTGTGGGTGTGTGTGTGGGTGTGGGTGGGGTGGGGATGTAAGGATCTACTGTGAGCTATGTCTAAGAAATAATGTAACCAAACCAACTCATCTGTTGCTCTTCAGTCCCACTTCTTCTAAATTCTTCATTTTCAACCGTATCTCTCCTCTTTATTTCAGCAACTCTTCTTCTAAGACACATCCCCTCTGCTGTTATATTTCTGTGCTCACTGATTGCAAAAAAGAGTCCATGTTTGACATAGACAGCATAGAATTGGCTAAACAATCATTCTGATAAGATTCACTGATATGATGAGGCTACTGTCATTCACCAAAAACTGTTTTAGATATTCTGGTAGGTTCTTTGTCCTTTAAACTAATACCTTTTTCTTCTGGGTTCACCGATAAAAGGGCATATGGTTTTGCAGTTTGCAGTTAGGCTGTGATATCTGCATCTTTCAGCTCAAGACATCAAACTACATATATCTAAGTATTTGCCTCAGAGGACATGCTTGTTGGGGGGGCAGTTGACCTATTCCCCTCCCCACCCCTCCTCGTTCCCCTGCAACCCCCAGGAACCACACAGGGAGTAGTTAAAATAACCAAGCCATTGTGTGTACTCCGACATCTATTCTAACATCTAGCAGACATCAGCTAAGTTCCAACATGGCCAGGCATTAATATAACCAAGCCACTGTGTGTACTCCGACATCTATTCTAACATCTAGCAGACATCAGCTAAGTTCCAACATGGCCAGGCATTAATATAACCAAGCCACTGTGTGTACTCCGACATCTATTCTAACATCTAGCAGACATCAGCTGAGTTCCATAGGCATTAATATAACCAAGCCACTGTGTGTACTCCGACATCTATTCTAACATCTAGCAGACATCAGCTAAGTTCCAACATGGCCAGGCATTAATATAACCAAGCCACTGTGTGTACTCCGACATCTATTCTAACATCTAGCAGACATCAGCCAAGTTCCAACATGGCCAGGCATTAATATAACCAAGCCACTGTGTGTACTCCGACATCTATTCTAACATCTAGCAGACATCAGCCAAGTTCCAACATGGCCAGGCATTAATATAACCAAGCCACTGTGTGTACTCCGACATCTATTCTAACATCTAGCAGACATCAGCTAAGTTCCAACATGGCCAGGCATTAATATAACCAAGCCACTGTGTGTACTCCGACATCTATTCTAACATCTAGCAGACATCAGCCAAGTTCCAACATGGCCAGGCATTAATATAACCCAAGCCACTGTGTGTACTCCGACATCTATTCTAACATAGCAGACATCAGCTAAGTTCCAACATGGCCAGGCATTAATATAACCAAGCCACTGTGTGTACTCCGACCAAACATGCCACTTAATATAACCAAGCCACTGTGTGTACTCCGACATCTATTCTAACATCTAGCAGACATCAGCTAAGTTCCAACATGGCCCAGGCATTAATATAACCAAGCCACTGTGTGTACTCCGACATCTATTCTAACATCTAGCAGACATCAGCTAAGTTCCAACATGGCCAGGCATTAATATAACCCAGCCACTGTGTGTACTCAGACATCTATTCTAACATCTAGCAGACATCAGCTGCCATGGCCAGGCATTAATATAACCAAGCCACTGTGTGTACTCCGACATCTATTCTAACATCTAGCAGACATCAGCTAAGTTCCAACATGGCCAGGCAGCCACTGTGTGTACTCCGACATCTATTCTAAGCAGACATCAGCCAAGTTCCAACATGGCCAGGCATTAATATAACCAAGCATGTGTACTCCACATCATTAACATCTAGCAGACATCAGCCAAGCCAACATGGCCAGGCATTAATATAACCAAGCCACTGTGTGTACTCCGACATCTATTCTAACATCTAGCAGACATCAGCTAAGTTCCAACATGGCCAGGCATTAATATAACCAAGCCACTGTGTGTACTCCGACATCTATTCTAACATCTAGCAGACATCAGCTAAGTTCCAACATGGCCAGGCATTAATATAACCAAGCCACTGTGTGTACTCCGACATCTATTCTGACATCTAGCAGACATCAGCTAAGTTCCAACATGGCCAGGCATTAATATAACCAAGCCACTGTGTGTACTCCGACATCTATTCTAACATCTAGCAGACATCAGCCAAGTTCCAACATGGCCAGGCATTAATATAACCAAGCCACTGTGTGTACTCCGACATCTATTCTGACATCTAGCACATCAGCCAAGTTCCAACATGGCCAGGCATTAATATAACCAAGCCACTGTGTGTACTCCGACATCTATTCTGACATCTAGCAGACATCAGCTAAGTTCCAACATGGCCAGGCATTAATATAACCAAGCCACTGTGTGTACTCCGACATCTATTCTAACATCTAGCAGACATCAGCCAAGTTCCAACATGGCCAGGCATTAATATAACCAAGCCACTGTGTGTACTCCGACATCTATTCTAACATCTAGCAGACATCAGCCAAGTTCCAACATGGCTATGCATTAATATAACCAAGCCACTGTGTGTACTCCGACATCTATTCTAACATCTAGCAGACATCAGCTAAGCACCATGGCCAGGCATTAATATAACCAAGCTACTGTGTCTACTCCGACATTTACTCTGACGTATTCTCCGACAACTACTTTGACGTATTCTCTGACATCTACTCCGACATCAGCTAAGTTCCACCATGGCCAGGCATTAAAACAAAAAGGCTTACAATGTGTACTCAAACATCAACTAACCGCCCGGATATGTTCTTCTATGTCCCATCACCAAAATAACCAAGTAACAATGTGTACTCAAACATCAACTAACCGCCGGGATATGTTCTTCTATGTCCCATCACCAAAATAACCAAGTAACAATGTGTACTCAAACATCAACTAACTAACCGCCCAGATATGTTCTTCTATGTCCCATCACCAAAATAACCAAGTAACAATGTGTACTCAAACATTAACTAACCGCCCGGATATGTTCTTCTATGTCCCATCACCAAAATAACCAAGTAACAATGTGTACTCAAACATTAACTAACCGCCCGGATATGTTCTTCTATGTCCCATCACCAAAATAACCAAGTAACAATGTGTACTCAAACATCAACTAACCGCCGGGATATGTTCTTCTATGTCCCATCACCAAAATAACCAAGTAACAATGTGTACTCAAACATCAACTAACTAACCGCCCAGATATGTTCTTCTATGTCCCATCACCAAAATAACCAAGTAACAATGTGTACTCAAACATCAACTAACTAACCGCCCAGCTTCTGTCCCATCACCAAAATAACCAAGTAACAATGTGTACTCAAACATTAACTAACCGCCCGGATATGTTCTTCTATGTCCCATCACCAAAATAACCAAGTAACAATGTGTACTCAAACATCAACTAACTAACCGCCCAGCCACCAAAATAACCAAGTAACAATGTGTACTCAAACATTAACTAACCGCTCGGATATGTTCTTCTATGTCCCATCACCAAAATAACCAAGTAACAATGTGTACTCAAACATCAACTAACTAACCGCCCAGATATGTTCTTCTATGTCCCATCACCAAAATAACCAAGTAACAATGTGTACTCAAACATCAACTAACCGCCCGGATATGTTCTTCTATGTCCCATCACCAAAATAACCAAGTAACAATGTGTACTCAAACATCAACTATCTAACCGCCCGGATATGTTCTTCTATGTCCCATCACCAAAATAACCAAGTAACAATGTGTACTCAAACATCAACTAACTAACCGCCCAGATATGTTCTTCTTGCCAGCTACCAAGAGGCAGCAAGAGGTTAAGTCACTACTCGAGGGACTGTTGCCAGCTACCGAGGCAGCAAGAGGTTAAGTCACTACTCGAGGGACTGTTGCCAGCTAACCAAGAGGCCCAGCAAGATGTTAATGTCACTACTCAATGGTACTGTTGCCATCAACTACGAGGCAGATGATGAAGAGGGACCTAAGTCACTACTGCTGTCTCGAGGGACTGTTCCTTCTCTGCAGCTACCGAGGCAGCAAGAGGTTAAGTCACTACTCGAGGGACTGTTGCCAGCTACCGAGGCAGCTAGAGGTTAAGTCACTACTCGAGGGACTGTTGCCAGCTACCGAGGCAGCTAGAGGTTAAGTCACTACTCAAGGGACTGTTCTCAGAACAAACCAAACAAGTTTCTGCATAAACAAACAAGGCATGTCACAAACAACACCAGCAACAACATCATGAAATGTCAGATACTACACCTGTCATTAAGAAAGGTTAGTTGCATATTCTTTAGAAGCCGTTGCTGAACTAACCCTAGCATTTTTTTTGGATAAAGCAAATGTTACGTTTAGTAGTTTGCCATGGCTTTCTAAATGGTCGGCTCTTGATACCACTGTCGAAACCAATGCAAGGCGGTTTGGTGATAAATCACCTGCAGCTGGGATATAAACCAGCATTACAGAGCACGTTCCCATTGCCTGCAGCCTATATTTACCACTTTTATCAAGTAGGCAGGGAGGGGGTGGGGGAAAAAAAGGAGGGGGGGGGGGGTAATTGTGCCTGAGCATTTTATTCTTGCCCCT